TTTAGGACAGATGCTTTTAGTAGAAAGGGCCGGAGAGGTTGACACTGGCCTGAGAATGTCATGCTACACGGCTATGAGGCATCCTATCTAATAAAGAGGGAATATGCTAATTGACCCTTATGCCATCGCAAAGATGGCAGCACCCATAGCCAATAAGGAGGGAATATGCTAATTGACTGACCTACCTTCAAAGATGGCGGCACCCACAGCCAATGGCACCCAGCCCCCTCACCCCCCCAGCTGCCCAGGGCCGGCCCGAGGCACAGGCAAGCCTCGGATGGCAGCTGCCCAGCCGCCCAGGGCCGCTCGAGGCTCAGGTGACCAGGGCTGGCCGAGACTTGTGCTGCCGGCAGTGGTGGCAGCAGAGGTGTGATAGGGCGTTGCCTTCCTCTGATCACTGGGTCGCCTCCCGCCCCTGAGGGCTCCTGGACTGTGAGAGGGGGGCAAGCCGGGCTGAGGGACCCCCCCTCCCCTCCAGTGCATGAATTTTCATGCAGCGGGCCTCTAGTTTTAATTATAAGGAAAAATAAATAGTGTCTTTTGGCTCCCTGCTGTGACAAACCACAGAGTCCAAGAGCAGGGGCTAAGTCTGAAACAAGCCTCGGTCTTTTCATGGGGAGTGACGTGAGGAGAGCTCTATTTTGTCACAGGACCTCAAGCCTTTTCAGCCTTTGGTGGTAATTTTGGGGGCACAAACCTCTTCTCCCCTGGCTTATACCCCACAGAGTCCTTTTTTAAGTGGAAACAACATCACTGCTCGTTGCCACCTTCCTGCCTCACCTGCCCACTCTCCACAGGCTGACCTGTCAATAACCCAGAGTTGTACATGGGTTCCAAGCATCACTTGAAGCAACCTCCTCAGAAATGGTTCTGAATTTTCCCAGAATAGAAGGGCACCATCTCAAGCGAATGCCTAAAATACACATGTCCACGTTTCTTACATCCGGATCATGTGGCCTACGTGCAAAGGACAGAGGATCCATCCTGTTTGGTGACCGCCAAATGACGTGTCCCCAGTGGCCACACCCAGGATAGCTTGCAATAAGGATTCAGGGGGAACCATGTAGGGGGAAGGACAGCAGTGTAGCACCTCCACTGCTAACTAAGCCAGATGCTGTGTGGCTGGATGGCTAACGAGGCCCAGATGAGAGTCCCCAGGCAACAGATGCGGAGATGCAAGGGGAGATGGAAGAAAGGATCACGAGCATTTCCTTCTCAACTCATGTGTCCCCTCTTCCCCGACACCTCGAGCCTGGCTCATTATTACTGCCTTCTCCGATGATCGCAAATCAGGAAGCAAGTCTTTCCCTCGAGAGGATGCCAAGTCAGTGCCATGAGGGCGTAAATCAAGTGTTTCATAAACAGTGTGTGGGCTAGTTCTCCTTCCAGCACTGAGGTCAGCCACCTCCCCTCACGAGCCCTTGCTGTTTCCCAATAAAGTAAGTGCGCCTACGTTTTCTTTGATGAGGGCTGCCAAGTGACATTTGGGGTGCGGTCCACAGCACTTTCCCTAGGGTAGGAGCTGAGACTTATCATGGCCCACAGAGGTCCCCAGCGGCCCAGTTTTCCACACCCTGAGCGTTTCATCACCTTGTTCTGGCCTGGTGAACCCAGATTTTAGCTGGGAATAAAACCTCAAGGGCTATGTCTGTCTCCTGACTTTCACACTCCCTTTGATTCCTATGACACCATGCATTGTTGATGTGGAAATTGCTTGGTACCACTTCCCTCCTTGGTGTGTCCTTAAGCATGCATTTAAATTCCACACAAGGTTTCTAGGAATTATGGAAACACATCCCCTACAGACAAGCTTCGTGTGAAAATTATTGCCCCACTGGGCAGAGCTTAATGGTCCGACAGCATTTAACTCTCTCTGAACACTACAGGGGGAACTAAATCTTTCCAAACACTTGGTAACAAGGAACACAATGTAGGTACCCGATGAGCTATGAGAGCCATACTTGTATCCTCTGTATCCAAATCTCTATGTGTGAACCCCGTTCATCGGAAAGTGTGGCTCGAAGGCCAAGTCAACAGTGCATTCGGTAGTCACAGGCCTGTGCTTGCCTGCAGACCGATCCCTTATTTCTCTGGGTATCAACCATTTGCCTTTTGGCTGCCTATTATGAAGAATATGCCTGTCGACACACTTCTACTGAAAAATTAAGTAATCTGAAATACAAACTGTGACTTAAATGGTGAACTCTATAATTTGTTTTGTATGCAGATGCCAGATTTGAGCAGCTATTATCAATTTTCATTTTATAATGTTGACCACATCTTAAAATTTAATTACCCCTGCTATTTATTTCCCACTCCTGGTCTCAGGCCAACAAAAGAGTTCCTTGAACTTGCCTGCAGCATATGGATGCAGGATTTCATTTATTGTTTTTGGTAAAGTCACGTTCGTCCAAAAATCGTGCAGGGGTCACACGAGAACCTTGGGTGCTGTCATTTGCCTGAAGCTGTTTCCATTAGCAGGCGTATCCGCAAAAACACATGTCAGCAGTTAGCCCTCCAGCACTGTGAGCAAAGCCAGCCCCAGGGAGCTTCATTTCTATTTTGGGTCCTCACTGTCCTTCCAAGGGGCCGAAAAAGATTTTGGATCGTTGGGCTCTGCAGGAAACCCTTGCCTAATTTCTGTTTTTCTACACCCTTTTTGGAAACCTACCATCAACTATGATGGGACTGTTAACATTTTGCATTTCAAGAAGTAATCTCTGACACCTCCCCACTATGCATTGTCAACAATGTCATCCTAAAACTATCATAAGACCTACAAGACTATATATAGTCCAGTGATGGCGAACCTATGATACACGTGTCAGAGGTGACACGCGAACTCATTTTTTTGGTTGATTTTTCTTTGTTAAATGGCATTTAAATATATAAAATAAATATAAAAAATATAAGTCTTTGTTTTACTATGGTTGCAAATATCAAAAAATTTCTATATGTGACACGGCATCAGAGTTAAGTTAGGGTTTTTCAAAATGCTGACACGCCGAGCTCAAAAGGTTCGCCATCACTGCTATAGTCCTTCCATCTCAAATCTTTGGGGATATATTTGAGAATCCAGTTTGGTACTTCTGAGGCACTGAAAAAAAAAAAGCTTTTTTATTTTCTTTTAATGTATTTTTATTGATTTCAGAGAGGAAGGGAGAGGGACATAGAAACATCAATGATGAGAATCATCGATCAGCTGCCTCCTGCTCGCCCCACACTGGGGATTGAACTCACAACCCGGGCATTGAACTGTGACCTCCTGGTTCATAGGTCGACACTCAACCACTGAGCAACACTTCCCTGGCAAAAAAAAAGCTTTTAAAAAATCTTCCAGGGCCAGAGTTTAAACATTCAGCTGCTGGGCTCACAGTTAGAAAAACTAAGTAAAACAAGAAGATACTACTCTAAACAGAATTGAGGGTGTGGGTCCTGGCTTTATACAAAATTGTGTCAGTGCTAGTGCATATAGTATCCAGGGAAGTCCAGTAAGCCATGCCCAGCAGGAACTTTCTAGATTGTGAAAATCTCTCCTGATTATCCCCACTGAGCATCCTTCTGAGCAGCCCCTCCCGAGTTCTGACCTTGAGGTAGACCTGCAGAGCCCTCTGCACTCCCCTCTCCGTCCCAGGGCTCGAGGTTCCCTGGCACGTTGGATCTTTTCAGCACTTTCCCTTCCTCCTCTCTGAAAGTTACCACTGCTTCCCCAACCACATCTGCTTATACCTGTCCCTTTCTTAGGGCTACTCGCTGCTCTCCTGAACAGTAAGCAACACACATCAGGGGTCTGGTTCATCAGCAGTTTTCAGGATGAGCTGTATCAGCATAGCCTGGGTACTTGTCATGTAATGACTCTTGGCTTCCACCCAGTCCTATGTGATTGTATGTAGTTTGAATTTGAGAAGCACTGGCCTGGAACTAAGAGACCTTTCTGGAAAGGAACAAAGTTTGGAGAGCTCATGAGTGATCCTGGAATCTGGGACAGTCCTCAGAATACTAGCAACCACAGCTGCCTTCCAAAACCTCACAGGTAAAGCTTTGTCTAATCCTCTAGTAAATTTCATTATTCAGTCTAGAAGGGGAATTCAATATTCTAGTTACTACACACCACGTAAGCATACAGTTTTGAAGACTTAACCCAAAGACCATCTATTTAATATGGCAACCAAAGGCACTTTGGGATCTTGCAGTGTCACGTCCCAGCTGACAGGGACTAGAGAGGAAGCAGCCTGTTTTACCTGAGTTACTGGGAAGAGAGTGGAAGAGCCTCCATGGTTCCCCACGGTTCCCTCCATAACCACTCCTGTGGCCTTGAGAACAGGAATGCTCACAGGGCTGTGCCTTCCAAAGCCCACTGGGAAGACCAGAAAGCGGAAGCCCCGCTGCACATCACCCCTTCTCGACCGGAATCTCTCGAGGCTGGCGCCAGGGGCCTGTGCCTTTAAGATCTCCCCCGGCGACTCAGGCTTGGACCGGGAGGGTGCCTCTGGGCTAAGGGCGACCGCCTTCCGCCCAGTGGAAGGCCTGGCTCCCCTCTTCCCGGAGCTCCCTGTAAAGCCCCCCACACTTAGCCTCCCGAGCCCTCCGCTTCCAGGACCCAGGCACCCCAGGTCCTGCCTCTGGGATCCAGGATTCAGGCGCCGGGGATCTGCGCCACCAGCAACTCGTCTCTGGAAGACCTTCCAGAGCCCAGGACCCCAGGTCCCAGCGTGAGAAACTCTCATATTCTCACTCCCAGAGCCAAGAAACCCAGGCGCTCCCAATTCCCAGCTTTCAGGCTGCGGACCCACCCTGGGGACTCGGACTCCCCATCTCCAATGGCCAGGAACGCGGGCGCCCTGAGCTCACAGTGCCGGGAACCTCAGCGTTCCAGCCCCCCTTCCCCCCATGGCTGCTACGCAACTCGCAACTCGCAGCTCTAAGGGACCTCAGCGTCCTAGGCAGGCGCCGCCAGCTCTCCCTGCTTCCAGGCGTTGAGAAGCCCTGGGGCGTTCACTATGGTGGCCGACTGGCCACATGGAGACCCCAGAGGGTCTGGGGCGGTGGAGCACACCGCCAAACCGAAACCGAGCAAACCAGGCGCGGTAGGAGGCGGCCCCCCCTCGAACCCGGTGCTCAGCTGCCTCCGCACCAACCTGCTGCTGCTGATGACCATGCTGTTCGTGTTGGGGGGCGTGCTGCTGGGGCTGGGGATGTCCAACGCCGGCGGCGTGACCATGCTGGGCCCCTCGCGCCTGGCGGCCTTCGCCTTCCCCGGGGAGCTGCTGCTCCGCATGCTGCGCATGGTCATACTGCCGCTGGTGGTGTGCAGCCTCATCAGCAGCACCGCCAGCATGGACCCGGGCGTGCTCGGGCACCTGGGCTGCTGGGCGCTCCTCTTCTTCCTGTTCTCCACGCTGATCGGGTGTATGATTGGCATCAGCCTGGCGGTGGCTCTGCAGCCCGGCGCCGCCCTCGCCGAGGCCCAAAACGACACGGGTGGGAGCCCCTCCGCCCCGCAGGGCTCCGGCAAGTCGGTGCTGGATTCTATCCTGGATCTTCTGAGAAATGTATTCCCTTCCAACCTGGTGACTGCAACCTTCAGCTCGTATGCGACCTACTACGAAGATAGAGATTTCTACGGAACCACGATGAAGGTGCCTGTGGGGCACCAGGTGGAGGGCATGAACATCCTGGGCCTGGTGGTGTTCTCCATGGCCTTTGGCGTGTGCCTGCGGAAGCTGGGGCGGAACGGAGAGATACTCATCCACTTCTTCAGCTCCTTCAACAACGCCACCATGGAGATGGTGTCCTGGATCGTGTGGTTCACCCCCGTGGGCGTCTTGTTCCTGGTGGCCAGCAAGGTCATGGAGATGGAGGACATGAACAAGCTCTTCTCCAGTGTCGGCAAATACGTCCTGTGCATCATGCTGGGCCACGGCATCCACGGGCTCCTGGTGCTGCCCTTCTTGTACTTCATCCTCACCAGGAAGAACCCCTACCGCTTCCTGTGGGGCATCGTGACAGCGCTGGCCATGGCCTTCGCCACTTGCTCCAGCTCCGCCACTTTGCCGCTGACCATGCAGTGCGTGGAGAGGAACGGCATCTCTAAAAACATCTGCCGCTTCATCCTGCCCATTGGGGCCACTGTCAACATGGACGGAGCCGCCCTCTTCCAGTGTGTGGCCGCAGTGTTCATTGCGCAGGCCAACCAGAGGCCCCTGGATATAGTGATGATCATCACCATCCTGATCACGGCCACCGCCTCCAGCGTGGGCACTGCGGGCGTCCCTGCTGGAGGTGTCCTCACTCTGGCCATCATCCTTGAGGCAGTCAACCTGCCGGTTGACCTCTCCTTGATCCTGGCTGTGGACTGGCTAGTCGACCGGACCTGTACGGTCATCAATGTGGAAGGTGATGCCTTTGGTGCGGGAGTCCTCCAACATTTGGTGGATCGGGGAAAGGCTAGTAGTGGCTCAGTGCCCCAGTTGCTCCAGGTGAAGAGTGACAGCTCTGTGGCTGCAATGCCGATCTTCAGACACTATTCAAGACCATCTAAGGATATTGACACCTCCAAGAAGAGCTTAGGCATGTAAGCCCCAGCAGGGACCTTCCCTGCTCTAATGGGGCACTTTGGATATTCAAGTCATGAGAGATGGATCAACGGACAAACTCGTTCTCTAGCAGCCCTGCCCATAAACTATGGGGAAACACAGGCCCCAGCCTCCCTTCCCAACCTACCTCTTCCCAACCCCATATCTGGGAGGCCTTGCTACTGGATATATGTGTATGTGGGTATGAATGTCTCCCCAAATCTCCCTGGTCCTCAACTCCTGCCCCCACCCAAGGTTAGGAAACAGCAAGATAGAGAAGTAGCATCCTCCACGCCTTATCCTGGAAGCCTGCCTGGCTTCCCCATCTTGGGGCACAGGTCACCACGTGGAATTCTGACCTCTTTGATAGCATGTTCCCACATGTGCCAGCTCATTTGCTGGTTATTTTGGTGGCTGTAGCTGTGTGTGTGTATGCATGTGTATGTGTGTGGGTGTGCTGTGGCTAGATGGTATGTCCCACCCTGTCCTGGGAACTCTGGGTAGGGGGAGACTGAGGAAAAACACTGCTGTCACTCCAGAGGACATTTTTTTTTTACCAATAAAATTGTCAAGTATTAAAAAAATAAAAAGATCTCCCTAAGTGACTGAGGAAGGGCCATACATGGGAGCCACTGTTCTAGCCACTGAGTGGCTCCAAAGTTGCTTTTTAACCTCATTCACACATATATTGATACACAGAGATTTAGACTAAGTAGAATTGTGACTCTAAAGGCAAAGGAGGGATTTGGCTGTGTCAGTCCTTGAGTTTGTAAATAGTTGTCTATTCATTACTCCAATATGGAAGGGCAGCAGGTCAATTTAAAAAAATAATTATCTTTTTGTTGAAAGTATTACAGATGTCCCCTCCCCCCCCATTGACCCCTTCTAGCCTGCTCCCTCCTCCCCCACCACAACCTCAGGCCTTCAGCACACTATTGTCTGTGTCCATGGGTTATGCACATATGCTTATAAGTTCTTCGGTTAATCTCTTCCCATCCACCCACCCCCGCCTTCCCTCTGAGATTCATCAGTCTGTTCCACGTTTTTATGTCTCTAAATCTATTTTGTTCATCAGTTTATTTGGTTCTTTAGATTCCACATATGAGTGAGGTCTTTCTCTGACTGGCTTATTTCGTTTAGTATAATACCCTCCAGGTCTATCCATGCTCTCTCACATAGTATTTCATGGTGTAAATGGTCCACAGCTTTTTTTATCCACTTATCTACTGATGGGCACTAGGACTCTTCCCAGATCTTAGCTATTGTAAATTGTGCTGCTATGAACATAGGGGTGCATATATTCTTTCGAGTTTCTTAAGGATATATTCCTAGAAGTGGGATCACTGGGTCAAATGGCAGTTCCATATTTAATTTTCTGAGGAAACTCTATACTGTTTTTCATAATGGCTGTACCAGCCTGCATTTCCACCAGCAGTATACTAAGGTTCCCTCTTCTCCACATTCTCAAGCACTTGTCATTTGTTGATTTGTTGGTGGTTGCCATTCTGACAGGTGTGAGTGATAGCTCACTGTCATTTTAATTTGCATCTCTCTGATGATTAGTGACTTTGAGCATTTTTTCATAAGTCTCTTGGCCATTTGTCAGTCCACTTTGGAGAAGTGTCTATTTAGGTCCTTTGCCCACTTTTTTATTGGATTGTTTGTCTTCCTTTTGTTAAGTTGTATGAGTTCCTTATATATTTTGGGTATTAAAGCCTTATGAGATGTATCATTGGCAAATATGCTCTCCCATACAGTGGGCTCCCTTTTTATTTTGCTGATGGTTTATTTTGCTGTGCAAACTTTTTATTTTGATGTAGTCACATTTATTTTCTCCTTTGTTTCCTTTGTCCTAGGACAGTGGTCGGCAAACTGCAGCTCGCGAGCCACATGCGGCTCTTTGGCCCCTTGAGTATGGCTCTTCCACAAAATACCACGTGAGGGCGTGCACGTACAGTGTGATTGAAATTTCGTGGCCCATGCGCAGAAGTCGGTATTTTGTGGAAGAGCCACACTCAAGGGGCCAAAGAGCCGCATGTGGCTC